CATTCCCAAGAAGTGTAGATTCAAGTTTGTACAAATCATGACCCCATGGGTTAGGGAGGGGCCATTTTTTTCCTGCCCCTATTTGCTATCCACATGGAAATGCAAATTTTAAAACCATTTTACACATCCACAGGACAAAATCAATCATCTTCCAAATGATCATGATTTAAGGCTAGTGCATAACATATAAGGGAAGTTCTGGGAACCAGGATGTTTAAACATGTTAAATATTTTTTTTAAAAAATTTGACCCCCATTTGACCCCCAGGGGGAAAATAAGAATTCCGAAACCTTACTGCACATCTATAGGACACCACCAACTATCTCCCAAAAGATGATTAGGCTACTGTGTAAAATGTAAGAGGAGTTCTGGGAACCAGGGGCTTTTTGCATAAAAAACGTCATTTTTCGACCCCTATTTGACCCCCAGGGTGAAAATGAGAATTCCGAAACCTTACTGCACATCTATAGGACACCACCAACTATCTCCCAAAAGATGATTAGGCTACTGTGTAAAATGTAAGAGGAGTTCTGGGAACCAGGGGCTTTTTGCATAAAAAACGTCATTTTTTGACCCCCATTTGACCCCCAGGGTGAAAATGAAAATTCTGAAACCTTACTGCACATATACAGGACACCACCAACCATCTCCCAAAAGATGATTAGGCTACTGTGTAAAATGTAAGAGGAGTTCAAGGAACCAGGGGCTTTTTGCATAAAAAACGTCATTTTTCGACCCCCATTTGACCTCCAGGGTGATAATGAAAATTCCGAAACTTTACTGCACATCTACATGACACCACAAAACATCTCCCAAAAGATGATTAGGCCACTGTGAAAAATGTAAGAGGAGTTCAGGGAACCAGGGGCTTTTTGCATAAAAAACGTCATTTTTCGAACCCCATTTGACCCCCAGGGTGAAAATGAAAATTCCGAAACCTTACTGCACATCAACATGACACCACCAACCATCTCCCAAAAGAGGATTAGGCTACTGTGTAAAATGTAAGAGGAGTTCTGGGAACCAGGGGCTTTTTGCATAAAAAACGTCATTTTTCGAACCCCATTTGACCCCCAGGGTGAAAATGAAAATTCAAAAACCTTACTGCACATCTGCAGGACACCACTAATCATCCCCCAAAAGAAGATTAGGCTACTGTGTAAAATGTAAGAGGAGTTCAGGGAACCAGGGGCTTTTTGCATAAAAAACGTCATTTTTCGACCCCCATTTGACCCCCAGGGTGAAAATGAAAATTCCGAAACTTTACTGCACATCTACATGACACCACGAAACATCTCCCAAAAGATGATTAGGCTACTGTGTAAAATGTAAGAGGAGTTTGAGAAATAAGAGTGTGACAGACGGACGGACGGACGGACGGACAGACGGACGGACGGACGGACAGACATGAGTAACAACAATATACCCGAACTTTCTTTAGAAAGTGCGGGTATAATTAAATTCTGCTAAAATGCTTTCCTACCTACCTATAGTATCTGTACTTTTGTGATTCATAAATTTCATTCAAAATTCATACAATTCATTCAAAATAAAGACACGAGGAACATCACAATCACTTCCCTGTACCACTCAATTACTGTACCAATAGAATGTTTTATATACACACATAAGTACATGTACTTATAAAGAAACTCCTACTCTAAATGAGTCCTATTTCATTATCAAAATGCAAAAATGAATGCAATCTAAAAAAAAAAAAAAGAAGAAATACTGAAAAATATATACTTTAATTTTCAGTGATAGAAATTCACTTGGATATGTGAAATGAATTTTTTTCTGAACAATATGAGCTCTATAAAATAAATTTTAAGTTGCCAATACTTTCTATGTATCTAACATCTTCTGTGGTGAGTTCTGTTTAGAATCAAAAACAACAAACTGAAGGGGAAAGGGGGGGGGGGGAGGGTGTTTCCATACACTTATTGTGAAAAATAACTATACTTCTTACATGTACGATGTTTTTAAATTACTGATTTATCTTGATTTCTGCTTTACCCCCATCCCTTTTCTGTCAATTTTTCAGCAATAAGTTATGTACTACTATATGCTTAAAAATTGTCATTTACACAAAATTTTCTTGAAAACAACAGAATCTCACTTTAAAATTCAAATTTAAAAAACTTTCTTACATATTAGTAAATAAACTTGTAATAAAATTTGATTTTTAACAGTTGATTTTATGATGAATACACATTTTAAGGTAGACATCATTAAATCATGTTCGTTAATTTCTACTTCTCTCTGTGTATAGTATAATTACATACAATTTCAACATGCTACATTAATCAAAATACTTACAGACAAGCTTTTGAACTTTAAGCTAGTTAGCGCATAGACAGAGTTGACATGGTCTAAAACCAAGTTACTGTAGAGGAAATCCTCCCTCACGAGGGAGGAAGTGCAGGGGTTCATAAGGGGTAGTTAACTGTTATAAATAACAGTGGTCTTGACATATATAATTATAATCAGTACCTATAGATGTAGAAATTAAATGTGGATCACACATACCCTGCAATTTTTTGGTGAATTAATTCAGTTATTCAAATATGTACACAGGTTAATTTCCTTACAAGTACATCTTGGAATGATTAAAATAATCTAGTCCAAAATCAGCTGATCTTAAAGATTACATGTATGTACCGGTATTGAAAAGTATTGGAGGAAATCTACTATCAAGAAATGTCTGCCATCTTCATCATGTTTATCATTAAATCATATGGAAATACTGATGCAGCCAAGTTAATTACAGTTTCTGTGTTGCAGGTTAATTTAAGTTTAATTATTTCTACATACAGTATGCAGAAGTTTGTACATACAATTGTGCACTTCTTACGAGTATTACATTAAAATATATAATACAGGATTTATGAATCATTTCTGCAGTCTTAATGATTTATCCAGGATGCATTAGTCTAAGAGTAATATGAAAGTTAATAAAATGTATGCAGAATTCTGATAAATTATCATGAGAAATAAAAAAAAAACATGTTCAGTTTGAACTGGTTGTAGTATCTGCAAGTTTTATTGTTGAACAGTTGATTTTGGGATGGCATGTGGTTGATACTTTGAATGGGGAGGGGGTTTGAATTAAACAAATTCTACTGGTCAGTTGTTTAATGTCCACTGAAGGGGACAGACTGAAGAGGGCACATACTGAAGAGGGTTTTAAACTGAAGAAGACACACTGAAGAGGAGACGTACTGAAGAGGACATACTGAGGAGGGGACAACAGATCAGAAGTCACAGAGTAACATCCTTTTGTGTCTACTGATATATAGTTAAAACCTCAAATGACATTTAAATTAACCTGATATGATTGTTATCATATACATTTGAACTTCGGTATCTTGAACAGAGATATCTTGAATACCATGGATATGTTGAAGTCATTTTGAAGTCCCAACCACTTATTCTTTAAGTATTTTACCCTGGATATCTCGAATCCTGGTATATCTCGAAGTATTTTCTCGGTCCCTTCAAGTTCGAGATAACGAAGTTTGACTGTACTTATAAAAATCAAAAACAATCCTCCATATCTTAGGTTCACGATATCTCTTTTAAACTGACCAGATATTGCTTTCAGAAGAATATATCCATTGGTTTTCTATTTCATGGAGAAAGTTCAAAAATTCTTGAGAACATTTATGAAAAAAAGGTATGTGGTTGTGTGACAATTAAACTATTTTTCAAAAACTCTCTTTTTTCCTTGCCTTCATTTTTAAACTGAAGAGGCTTGCAACCTCTAATTCCACCCCCAAGCATCCCCCCCCCCCCAATCCTGGGTCTGCCAGTACTACTTTCAATGATATGAACAATCACCATCCAAAAAGAGTATTCAATATAAATACTGTTAAACCAGACACTGGAGATTTGATCGTTCTCTGCCTTTGCCACATATCCTAGGCCTACAAACCAAGTTGAATGTACAGTATTGTAAAGTAATTCTCCACTGCCCAAATATCTTATATTTAATAAGTCACCATTACATGCAATCATTATTCAGAGCTGAGGTATTGATATTACACAGATCCTCAATTTTTTTTTCTACCAAAAGTCATAAAAATATAAATATTGCACTTTGTGGTGCAAAAACCACTTTTAAACCCACCTGTCTCGCCAGCCAGCATTAAAAAGATCACGATTAAAATCAAATACAGTAGTTATCATGAAAGGGCTTTTGTGCAATCCTTGTGTTGATGCTAGCTAATAATTCTGGAGTGTTATTTTTTAATTGCCTGCACAAACCAATAAATCAATTTGTGTTTAACAGTAGAGCAACATACTACTTTCATGCTGTATTTTTGGATACTTCCAATCTCTGTTATGAATAATTGAGACAATTTCATTGATTAAAAGTGTCCACTGAATAGAGATGAAATTGAAATAACATGCATTTGTGGGAATTCGTTAAAATTGAATCTTAATTACATCAGATTTAATTAATGTTCAGTACCTGCATATAATGAAGCTCTTGTTCTCCCGATATTTATTTTTGTTTCAAGCCTCGTATGTAAATATCATTCATGTTCACTATCATTTTGGTTTAAGTGTCTGGAAAATTATCAAGAAACATTTCCATTTGGTAAATGTCTACTCAAACACTCATTACCATATCAAATCAGTTTAAGTCAACCTGGCTTTGGAAACTAATTTTTCAGGTCATATTACATGGCATATCTCATATTTCTTTCATAATCCATCTCTGTGATGAAAAAGCACTGTGTAAACTAATTTCTTTCTAAGCAGTCGCAGCTCACAGGGAAGATATCTATAAGTTTACAAATTCACCATACAAACTTACGCAAACAGTCTTGGGTGTGTATAGGAAATCCATATACAAATTGGATGGGCCGGCTGGCATGACCAGAAATATATTTGACTTTTCCAGACAAGCTTTCTAATCCCAACATAGCAGGCCTGAATTATGAATGGCCCTATTTAGATTCAAGGATAATACAATCTTGATTTCAGCCACCCACCTCTTTGCTTGCTGGAGAATTGCTCCTTCTCTTCTTTGTAATAAGTGCACTACACCTCATAATGGAGTAGTTTCTTCTTTAACAAGGGCTTAAATCCACTGTAACCGGCCATAAAATTGGCATGAAATTATTTCCATTTCTTATAAACACCCATTACATGCACTGTAATCCTTCAGAAAAAGCTGGCAAATAATCTTTTTCAATCAGGACTGCAGATGGGGAGGCCCCAACAGGGGGTACTTAAGTAGCTTCATGTACAGAGGCCATCATAGAGGGGGAAAATCTTCCCAGAGAAAATAAGCTATGGCAGTGAGATAATATTTCTCTATATCTCTCCACATTCCTCCCGTTTAAAAATAAACAGCTGAGGCCTTTCTCAAAAGCATTTCTCCCCTGTGTTCTATGCATTAACACTGGCTTCTTTAATAGGGTCTCATTACACAACATGAACAATCGAATCTGTGAAGTCCTGATCAACTTACATACTGTGTATTAGCTTCCGCAAAGCTTACGATAATGAATACATGTTACCTTCATCATGAGATTTTTCTGAAATACATTATAATAAAGAACCTAATTAACCATATAGCATACAGGGCGTTCAACACTCTTTCATGTATTTACTTACAATGGTGTGTATATATATATATGTATTCACAATCTACTAGGAGTCGAGAAGAATGCTAAAACTTGCCATCTTATAAAAAGGTGACCAATTCACATTACCATAAAACTATTAACCCTCCCAAAATGCATATACGGTACTAGTATGCATTTCGATTCTTAACAAAATATGCCTTGGTTGTATTTATTTTTGATATTGATATACTTTAAAAACTTTTCACATATTGAAAGCTGATAATGATTTGATTATTTTTGAATGTCATACTAAAATGTCTTGGGAAATAAATCAAAATGAAAAAGGTTTCCATTTACTTCTTTGCTTAATTAATTATTTGGTTGATAATTTTTCTTTTTTCACGAACGAACTGTGAAATTCTGCTGTGGATGGTGGCTTTGGAGAGTGAAGTTGTGTTTGCAGTGGTAGCTAATAGAGCCTGAGTTATGAAGTCTCTACCGCTCTAATGGCTGCTGCTTAGAATTGGTGAGATTCCTAGCTAATTAATTTAGAGCAGTGAAGCAGGGCTAGAGGGCTGTTAGTTCATTAATCACTCTCTCTGTTTTAATTAACAGCGTCCTTCAAGGAGACCTTTATGCTATAGTAGATATCCTTCCTGGTGAACTCAGATTTCTAACATCACTTTGAAGTAGACAAACTAACTCTTTTTTAGTTGTATTATTTGATGCTGGAGACAAAGAAAGTTGAATTAAAGAATCTGAATGAAATGTTTTGAATCATTTATTTTGACATCACGCATTTTTAATATTACATAGTGATGATGATATTACTCTTTATTTGCATATACTGGTAGGTCTTAAACTGTATTAAAATACAGTAAGGGGACAAAAGTCACAGTTGACAATGCTAGGCAAATTACCTGTATGAGAATCAAAAACAATTTTGATGTTCTAGAGTATTAGTGGCAGCAATTAACATGAGAACCTTATCTTAAAGATTTCCTATCAAAATCTAAAGTATTCTCCCTATTAAGAACTCCTACCCCCCTATAAGGGCCCCTGGAGAATTTTTCCAAGAATAATAAAGGGCCCCCTTTATTAACTTATGCATAATGGTCTAATCAGAATTTTTTCAAATTCATCAGACCTACATTCAAAAGTGAAAATACTGGAATATGTTCGATGAAATTGACTATTTCAATGATCTGGTATAAGCAGAGCAGACTGATTGACACATTCTTGAACAATTTATTTACTCACAAAACTTTTGAAAGATAGAGCTAGGGCATAAACTTGAATTAACTTTTGACAAAAATCAATTTATTTAATTCTAACACAATTACCAAATAATAGCCCCCTTTTTGCAATTTTCTAAGAACCTGGGGGCTCTTACTATAGAGAGAATACGGTATAAGTTGTTCTAGACACATGAACTATATAACCTGAATACCTATGAAGTAAGTCATATTTACATAACTTAATTACAACTATGTCATATTTACAAAGAACTGCAGACATGATTTGGATCAATATATATAAACAGGATTTGTCTCATTTTACATTGGTATGTATGAGGGAGATAAACCATAAGTAATTCAATTGAGGAAGAATAACTTACTTCCCTGATAAGATAACATCTGCACTATTTCTATCCCTCCCCCTTCAACATTCCCCTCCCTCCTGAAAAAAAAACTACAACTTCATCAATATATATGAATTTAACAATATACTCAAAAACAGAGCTATACAAGGCTACTGGGTATGTACACCAGCTGGTCTCTATATGACGAGGAAACAAATTTTGTTAATAAAAACCTCAAACAAAGAAGCACTCGCTCTGTAACCCCTACTTTTCACACTTACCTCAAGAGGCTACACACTTCGTGGAGACACATCCAATAGTACATACAGTGTTTTCCTCTCAACTTGTACTCCTCAACCATCGACATCCTAAAAGGACAGAACACAACCACACATTATACAACCCCAGGACTTCATGTATCCATGATTCACAATCAACTAATTGTGCCCTAATCAAATAACAGAAATCTATAACCGGCTAATAATAGAAAGCAATTTATCCAGCATGCAATCTCTGTTCACTGAAACATAAACAATTTTCTACCCATTCAACAAATGAAAGCGCTTGCTGTATCCTGTCACAATAAGACAATTAAAGTCTGGCTACCATCAGGAACCATAAAACTCTTGTATTTACACTCAATATCTATATATCAATATTCCCCAAGATTTAATACTGTAATCAGAACAATTTGACGAAATGTTTCTTCTTTAAAAGATACTGTATTTCCCAATTAGTGAACAATTAACTTAAAAAGCCTTCAAACTAGTTCAAAGGAGTCAAATTTCTTGCTACATTGCTTTTTGTACTTTAAGGATTAAGAGAAATTTGAAACCCTCTCTCTCAATTTAACAAATCAAATGGCACTGGACTATTTGCTAAGAGGTGCCAAAGTAGAAACTAAAACAAAATTTCACAGATCAAGAAATGTGATAACCTTATTTCTAAAATTGTCTAATTTCCAACACACTGGTCAAGATATTTATTCTACCTCCCATAGACCCGGAATTATCTAGTAATTAAGCTAATTGTCTGGTCTAATGTTTACCAGTAGGATTACTGGGACATGCTCCTATACAGATGCTTGAGAAGCTGTGCAGTGTAATGTACAATATTGGCCTAATTTACACAATGCTAATGACAAGGTGTCTGCATTAGTTAGCCCTAGAATTTAAGGTGAAATACTTTAGTTAACTATTTTCAGCAAAAAAAAAAAAAAGAAAAAAAATTACCTAGGTACATGTATATATATAAAAGATCTGATAATCCAGCTTAAAAAATTGCCTCAATCTCGAAAGATACAGGATGTTTATGGAAACTTCTTCAGGGTTTCCAACATTATAATATCTCAAACAATTTTCAGAGACCACATAAATAACTTTTCTATTATAAAAAAATTAATCAAATTTCACTTCGTATCATTTTTTTTTTGAAAGAGTATCCCATTCTAACAATACTGTACATGTACTATCAAAAATAACAGTTATGAATAAAATACAATTATTTTTTTATACCAGTCTGTATTATAAACTTGATTGCAGAAAGAACAATTAACTTCTCATTTTTCTTCTTTCTCAAAAAATATTTCTCCAAGCATGCACACTAAGATGAAAAAAAGTTTGAGACTACATGGCACACCATACTTATACGGAACCATTGGAATGACAACCTTGCCTTATTTATGTGTCCCGTTATCTCTGCTATCCACATTTCTTCATCATCCCTAACCGCCTATCTTCCATCAGCAGATATCATATGCAGTTAAAGATTTGGACAGTAACACACGACTAAACAAACTGTAATGCCATACTTAAAATAATCTTAGGAAATGAAATATTGCTGAAATCTGTCATTTCTTTTGAAGAGCCCATTCCATTTTTTCTTTTGAAGATGAATAAATATGATGGTTGTATGCTCTACACGGAATTACTTTACCCCTTGACTGAGCTTTGAACAATTAGGTGACTCAATTATAACAAAGCCGTACTTCCCTCTTTAGTCTTGGTTTAAGTCTCCTGCTTTATGTGGCTGACCTACATGGTACATATAAATCTTTATGGGAATACTATGTTAAACACACACATTATTCTATTTTTTACACTTGCAATTTTATAAGCTTTTTAAGAATACAGGACTGGATCAAATCTTTGGGGAGGGGGAAAGGATAAATGATGAGGGTCCTGAACCAAAAATTCTACACACTGATCCATTGTTTTATCTAATGTGAAACAGACCTGATTGCAGTGTAGGATCTTCAGAGTTTAATGAAGTTTAAGTTTTCTGTGGGAGAAATGACTTCTCAGTACACAATTACCTGATGAGTTTTGAAGTGTTGCTCTTATGACACTTGATTCCTGTTACATAACTGTGTACTTAAGATTAGGTCACCCCCAGCTACCAGTACAAACTTCATTAAATGTAACCAGTACAATCTTCATTACATGTAACCCGTGCAATCTTCATTACATGTAACCAGTGCAATCTTCATTGCATGTAATGAGGGCAATCAACATTAAATGTAACCAGTGCAAACTTCATTTCATGTAACCAGTGCAATCTTCATTACATGTAATCAGTGCTATCTTCATAACATGTAACCATCTTCATTACATGTAGCCAGTGCAATCTTCATTACATGTAACCAATGCAATTTTTATTACTTGTAACTGTCTTCATTACATGTAACCATCTATTACATGTAACCATCTTCATTACATGTAACCAGTGCAATCTTCATTACATGTAACCATTGACAAAGATACATGTAATATACACAATGACAATTTAAGTATTACAAATCAAATAAATTTATTCCAATCCCTTCACTATCTGTGTCCAGAGAAGTTGATACAGCTTTTATATAAATAAAGATCAAGCCAATATAATAAGACAAAACAAACATCAATCATTGAGTCTGCAAGAGTAAACAGGGAAATTCTGCTCACAGAAATCAATCAAAAATAATACGATCCTTAGCAGAAGAAAAAAATGTGTAATATTTTTTACTAAAGAATATATCTGGAGGTCAGGAAATATGGCTAAACCTTTAATCAATCTAGATAATATAGTTCCTTGTATATTTAAAGCTCTCACTAAATATTAAGGAAAAATTAAATTAAATAGATATAAATAAATCTATATTGACTGTTAACAGATTATTTTTTATTTTTTACAGAATTATGTCCTTGATACTGAAAATGAATCTGCAGATAAGACAGTATTATCAGTAACAAATTTATCTTCATTTAC